GGATTTGGAAATGTAAACACAGGCTGATGGATGGAGCATCTGCTGGTGACCTCTGCAAATCCCTCGTGAGACCTCTCTCTGGTCTGGAGGAAGTTTTCCTGCGTGTGCGCCCCGTCCCGGATCCCCTCTCCCAGTTTTGATCCGGGAATTCATTCAGAGCAAGCGGCGAGTTCCGTTTTCGGGGGTTTGAACGATGGTAACTTCGGCGGATGCGTTTGGTCTCAGCCTGGAGCTCAACATTGTCGGATGTTTGTCATTTGAAATTCTTGATTTGGGGTGTTTTTTTTTTCTTTTTAAAAAAAAGATATAAGTAAATACTCACTCGATAATGGAAATGATGACCTTAGAGGCATTTATAGAGTCTCGGAATCGAACGTCTTTGGAGAAACGTTCATCAGCATGGCATCAAATCTCGTCAATGGAAGCAATTAGGACTAAAATCCACCAATAAGAAGGAGCAGACCTGGATTAATCAGAGTAAAGGCGGGTTTTAGTGTCTTTAAAAGCTAAATGTGATCCATTTAACCTCGATTAATGACCTGTTTTGAGGAGGGGGGGTGGTTTACTCGATGTCTTGAACGATGGAGCATTCAAGACCACTGTTTAGATAAACTAAAGCACGTTCAGTCTTCTTCCCCTGCTCCTAAATGTCAGAATGTTGGGGTCAATCCATTCCCTGATGAGGCCAGCTCGGGGTAGCTCTGTTTCATCTCCGTATTTCCCAGCAAAACGAAGCCCAGTTCACAATGTCTGGTTGAGTAAGAACAAAAGTTTAAAAACAAGAGAAGAAGGAATGAAATACGCTATGAAAGTTCAGAAAAAAGAACCACCGGTGACACATGGAGCCCGACGAGACCTTTATAAAATAGACAAAACCATCTTTAGATTATTTACGGTCTTACGTATCGCATGCATTTTATCTTCTTCCAAGTTCAAAAGTTCCTACAAAAGCATAGAGGGCAAGAAGCTGGCCTTTAGTGTTTAAGCTTTAGTTTCATATCGTCTTTTTGTTTAGTCCAGTGTATCCAGACTGACGTCAGAAGGCCGTTGAGCTCTTTCTGAACCGGCCTTTAGCCAGCCTCACTCCAACACCATTTGTACGGAAACAAGTCGAACCCATGAACTCAACATTAGGTCGCAGGCATGTTAAACCCCCCCTGGGTGAGCCGTTAAATGGAAGTTCTTTTAGTTTTTTTTCCATCTTTAAACCTTTACCCTCTCACATTTACCCATTAGAACCACTGAGCTCCAAAACTAAAACGGTTTCAGTGGCTTTTCGTGTAAACGGCGTGGACGGCGATAACGAGAGGAGAAGCCCGGGCAGGTGTGTTCTGTTATTCAGAATCTGAGCGGGAAGACGAGGGCACGTGCCAAGACTCCAAAGTCAGATCCCGGCTCGGGTCCGGGGAAGTAGCTATCGCATTGCAGCTTTTCCCGCCGTTCCCACAGGCTGAAATCACGCCACGCGCCGGCTCATTTCCCCCTGGGTTCTTTTCACAACCCTCTATACATCCCAGCCTCTCTCTCTCTCTCTCTCTCTCTTTAAAGGTTTGAGTCTTTTCTCCTTAGCAACAGCACGAGGACTCTAGGCAGGGTATTAAGGCTCGCGTGTGCGCATCCGGAAGCCCACATCTGCACAGCGTGAGTTCAAAGCAGCGGAGGAGGAGGGGGTTGGGTCGGAAATAGGGAGTGTGTGAGTGTGTGTGTCTGTGTGTGTTGATGCTCATATTTTGTGGTAACACGTAGATAGCGAATAGCGTTTTTTCCCCTTCCGATGCTATTCCTTCTTGGCAGCGGCCCGACTTTTGACAGCTGTTTTGGTGAATCATCCTTTTTTTTCTCCCCCCCCCTCCTTGCGCTCCCAAAAGCCGACCAGCGCCCGAGGAAGGAAGAGCGAGGAGTTATTTTCAATGCTTTTTAAAATAGGGTTGATAATCCATCAGCGGCTCCCAGTACAGCACAGATAGAGCCAGTCAGAGTCAGAGTCAGAAACAGAGACGGAGAGAGAGAGAGAGAAGGAGAGACTTGGTGAGACTCACGCTTGGTGTGAGGGAAAAGGCGGATTCTCTGTGGGTGCTGCTTAGCAAGCTCCCCCACCACTCAGGAGAAGAGTCCCTGTCTGTAGCCGGCGAGCGGGGGGGTAATTACCGGGCCAATCTCAAACCAGCCAAGTCAATCTGAGAAAGCACACGTCCTCCTTCCCCCATGTCAATCTGTCTCTCTGCATCTGTCAGTCCCTTTTTTTCTCCATACCACTTCCACCCCCCCCACCCCCCTTCCCCTCCCCCTATATTTTCCCTTCCCACCCCCGCTTGCCCTCCAACTGAGATTGTACAGCATCTGGCATGTCTGAAAATCGCTGGCTTTCCCCCTACCGCTTCACGGAGGTATAATCCTTTTATTTCTACGTCTATAAATATATGTCTGCTGGGCTTTTAGAGGCTCTCTGCCTATGTTCCACCCCCCACCCCCCACAGCAGTTGCACCACCGGGCCGTATGTGTGCATTTGGCTTCAGATGTGTACAGTATATGGGATTGTAAAGAGGGCGCCATTGAAAGCTGAGCAGAGACGAAGACGAGCAGAGGAACGGAGATGTGGGCCCGTGCCGTCGGCCCCTCGGTTTTAGCGGCGTGTTCCCAATAATCTCTCTCCATTTCACTAAGCCCCGAGTGCCTACATGCAAATCCGTGATAAATTGCTAATTAGTTTGAAATGATCGAAGCTGCAGCTGACTTCTCCTTTACTCGCTGCAAGTTCTCTGGCTCCATAAGAATGAACAATACAAACAGAAGGAAATGTCCCTTCAACCACTGTTGTTAGACCAAAAATAAGATACAAATGAGGACTTTTCTACATAAAAAAGTAAAAAAACACCATTCCATTCTAACTTTTTAAACATTGTAGAAACTAACATTATTCTGAGTGTATTTTTCATTTTTTCTCCCCGAAAGTTAATGAAACTAAACACCAGATAATTTCATGAGCCTTAAAACTATGCATTAATAAAATTTTGAAGCACACCATTACAGTATGTACACTACAGTTGGATACATTGGTCAGTCGTACAAAAGATACATCTACAAATATGACATTCGGTTTATTTCAATGTCATTACGCTTCTTTTTAACTCAAAGTAGGCTGAAAAAACGTTTAAAGATGAGACTTGCAAATGTTACATGTTAGCTTGAAATCTGACAAAAAAGTGGCATTCATGGTCCCCCTGGTGTAAAAACAGAATACATTTTGTCACATGTCACCAACATGGCTCAAAACAACATGGATTGATGCTTTTAGCCAATAAAAAATGTTGACAATACCGTAAAGTTTTTTCAACCTTCATACGGTTCCGTTAACTAGCAAGCAATTAACATTTGTGTCCTTTTTTGGGGGTATTTTGAGATTTTAAAAAAAGTCTCAATGTTTGCTTAGCTAATTAATAATTCATCATCCAAATCCTTTTTGGAGTTGGGCTTTTTAGCTAGCATCCCAAAAAGGCTAGCAGTGCGCTAACGGCAACGTGAGCGCTGACGCGTTTGAGAATTAAAACGGTCAAATAAAGGGCACGCGAAAACGAATAAATAAAAAGCTCCGAAATCCTGTTTGCAGCCAGTTAATTGTTATCTGTTAGCTGTTGGGTAGTAGCAGGTTCTCACGTAACGCCGAGCATCACCCGCGCCCGCCTCCAGGAATCCCGTCTATTCCTGAGTTTCTTACTCATGGCACAGACCCCCCCGCCCACCGACTTATATAAAGCCATTAACCAGCATGGGGCTATTTTTAGTCAGCAGGTACAGTGTGTTTCAGCGTGAGATGAGATGGTTATGGCCGAAGAACACAGGCTGAGGCAAGCTGTGCTGGGGAGTGGGATGGGCTACGTTTTTAAAAATAAAAAGCAATCACGTAATCTGTGGAAAACCTGCGAGGTGATGGCAAAATGCACCAAGATCAAGTTTAAGATTTTTTTTTTTTTTTATAATCACTGCCCTCCTTTACTACTTTTATTACAACTATTCTATATTTACTGGGGAAAAAATATATAGCAGAACATAGGCCTTAAAGTCCATATTAAGCCTTAAAGCTTCAAAAAGACCCTCAAAAGAGCTAATAATCCTGTATTCAAAGCATAAACATGTCTCGCCTTTCCTTCCTTATTTATCCATATTCTGATTTTTGTCCAGCTGGAGCTCACAAACATCAGACTCAATTACATCCCCGAGCCCACCCCCGATTCAGATTTAATTCAACTCCAAAGTTCATGTGAACCCACGGCCCGTCAGAGTGCATCATTTAATCCCTGAATGCAGCGCGCTGAAATACGAGGAGGTCCCTGGGGGATAAAAACCGTTTGGATCCAGTTGTTGTGAAGTCGGAGCAGGTTTTGGCAGATGCTCGGCCTCACCGTACAGTACGGCACATCTGGCCTCTGAGGACACTCATCCAACAGCGCAGAGGGGGCGGAGGGAGGGGGAATTACAGCGCGATGAGATGGAAACTACTACTGGGTGGGTGGAAAATAGAAGGGTAGGCTGCAGAAGAGGACGGGAGGGGAGGCGAAAAAAAAAAGATAGAAGGGTCTCACTGAGCTCCAAAAGTATATGTGAACACAGTATGGTGGATTCAAAAAAGAAAAAAACAAGTGGACATGTTATGTAAGGGTACAGGAGAAAAGAGAAAGCCCCATCTAAAAGCCGTTTTTCCTTTGTATTGAACAAAAAAAAAAAAAGAAGTGGAAGTTGCCTCCCACGTATGATGCGTCCTCCCTCCGGAGCATGTGGTAATGAATCCAGTATGTCTACTTATTTTGACACGTAATTATTGCATCCCTCCTGGGCTAGTTACCACTTTTATGGCGCTCGTTTATCTTTAAGGCCAGCGCACCAGCAACGTTTTAATTTTCTCGCCGTGCAGAGACAGAGCTGTTGTTTTCTCGAGCGTGAGGCGCCTCATCTGTATTCCTCTTCTTCCTCTCCTCCTGCTAATGCTCCCTGTTGTCCTGGGATGGAGGCAGTTTGCTTCCCGGACTCCCTCCTGCTTTCAGACATTAGCTCGAGCTCCCCCGCTGAGGTGAGATGGATTTACAGACGCCGTGAACACGCCTGAGGAATGGAATCTGAGCTATTGGGTCAATTAATTTGCCGAACCATTATCTCATTAGCCGCTTAAAAAAATAAAAAATAAAATCAATAAAAAGAAAGATCAGGCCAGAGACTTTAGTCACGGCCAACTTGAAATGATTTGAATCATTTCCTGTTTTTTAATTAGACAACAGAAAAAAAATAAAATAAATCTGTGATGACAATAATGGTCTGTCACAGCCCCAGAGGGAATAAGCAAAAAAAAACAAAACAATTATGACCCAGATCCCCCCCTTTGGAAGGTAGAGGAAGCAGCTCCTGGGCGCTGGGCGGGTCGGGTTCCTCTGTCGGACAGAGGCGGTGGGCGGCCTTTGATGGGAACGGTCCCCGGCAAACCTTATGTAAGCGCTTTAATATTTATCAAGTGTATTCCGCCAAGATTTGGCTTTGAAATCAGGGGGAAGGGAGGAAACGGGCGAGCAGGAGGAGGAGGAAGAGGAGGAGGGGGGGTTAAAGTAAAGTGATGTGACAGAAGTGTGGAAAACCGCCTGGAGAAGTGTATTCCCCAAAGGAAAACCTTGTTGTAAATGAAGTGCATCGCGCTGTGAGAGGAGGGGTGAGCCGGTGGGGGGGGGGGGGGGGCTGCGACTCCTCTGCTGCTGCATGCATCCCGCGTGGATGTGTGTGTGTGCCGTCCATCTGGACCGCTGTGTGTGTGTGTGTCTGAGCGAGAGTGTGTGTGTGTTCCGATTTCTCCCTTATTCCCGTCGGCGACTTCCTCTTAACCGCCCTCTCGCCGCGACACCGTCCTCCTCTCCTCCCTCTCCCTCTCCATCACCTTCAGTGGCTCCCCAGGGCGGCCTGTTAAACGCTGCGATCTGTCTCCGTCCCCCCACCCCCCCCCCCCCGCCCCCCCCCCCCCCCCCCGCCTTCTTTTACTCTCTCTGCTTCCAGCCAGGGGTTCCCCCCTCTTTCTTTCCGCATGTGGTAGTTAGCGCGGTGATTCATGAGCGCCGGGCCTGGCGGAGAGGCCGGGAGACGAGGAGGTAAGGGACGGGATGGGGGGGGGGGGGGGGGGCCGGGGCCAGAGGGGGGGGGGGGGTGAAAGCCGGCTAGTCGTTTGTACGGCAGATAGAGAGGACAGCGGAGGAACAAAGAGCGGGACGGAGGAAAAAAGGGAAGAAAGGATGGACAGATGACAGGAGGAGCATTATCGGAGGATGTCGGGGGCGGATGTTAATTTTTAATTCGATTCCCAGACCCATTCAGGGAGTCGCTTCGCCGCGGAGGGAAAAAAAAAAGTGCTGAAACTGACACAAATATGTTCGGGGCACTTCGGGTCGTGATGGTTTTCTTTCATGCAGCAGGCGCTTTTACAGCTACCTTCATCTGGCGTGGATCACAGAGCCGCTCCACTGGTGCAAGAAGGGGGTTAAGTGCCCTTTAAAGCTAATGGCTGCAGTAAAAGAGAAAAGAGTCCGAGGTCCGGGACATGATCTGGCACCATGTCTTGACGCATATCTGCAGTGTCAATCCCTCAACGTTCTTTTATCTTTTTTTTATTATCTTTTTTTAAGCTCGGGGGAAGTTCTTTTCCACCTTTTCGAAGTGAAAATGAACCATACTGTTGGATATGCCCTACACAGGCTGGAAAAGATAAGAAATGGATGTTTGGCCACTTCTTCTAAACCATGTGGAAAACTAATCTGGACCTTTTCCTGCCAATAGAGCGCTGAATCTGTCCGGCCGCAGCACACAGGGGCGCTTTGTGAGAAACATGCAGGGCTTTTGAAAGACTATTTTAAGACCTGGATGCTCCCATAACTCTAATCAGCTTCTTTTTTAGGGTCCTAATGACTGAAAAAGTGAGTTCAAATTTACAGCCGAAGGTAATGTGGTCACCACATGTGAGAAGACTAATAATGTCTTGACCACGTGACCTAGGAAGTCATGCATTGCCTCTTTAATATGCATTTGGCTCTTTTTCTGTGTGCTCGGCGCTGTACGGTATTATACACTTTAGAAAAAATTACAGCAATTTTTACCTGAATCAGTTTGTCAGTTTTCAGTTTGGTGCAACACGGGCCCACAAAATAAAAGAAAAAAGAGACAAATAACAGATTTAGCATAAGAATGACCCAAGAAATGAAGACTTTTCCGATGTGGAAAGCCCCTTTTCCGGATGGGAGACAAAGGAGATAAAGCGTTAACGGTTCCACCATATGAAATAGCATTATGTCAGAGAGATCTGGCCAATTTCTTTTTTTCATGTTCCTCCCACTTCTTCCATGACAGGTGGAGCCCAAAGTGCTCCAACAATGCTTGGAATGCGTGCGTGTTGATGCATTCAAAATCGGGCTAATCTGAATTGCGATGGCCCAACAAACCTTAGGTTGTTTTTGTTCAATTTCCCAGCAGTTGGTGTGAACTGCGGAGGATATGAATTATTTACACAGAATTTCTGAGTTGGGGTAGAGCAGCACTGTCCATATGTGAGTGTTACGTCCACCAAGGGCACAACATATTTGAGGACACGAAGACAAAAATGAGGAATTAAACGTATTTTATTTTACACGCTCTCCGAACATTTTCTTTATCGCTTCTTTCCTGTGAAGGAAGAGACAATAATTCCCCAGGGTTCCCCGTGTCCCAAAAATAAAAGAACACAAAAAAATTCCAAAGTATAAACAGAAAGTTGGACCTGATGAGCCGATCAAAAAGGAACAAAACGATACAGCAGAGCCCAGCCCTATACAGGGCCGTCGAAGCCACTGCTAGTATCAGACTACAGGGGGGGAAAAAAAACTACTGAAAGAAAAAAACCCGAAAACAGGACAATCGGTCCCACCAGGTCAAAATCACAACGAAGCCAAGAAAAACATCAACCAAACAAAGAACCAACAAAGCTACCGTGAGGCAGGCTGGATACGTCTACACGCATGACTCCAAGGTGGTGATCGGAAGTGGGCCTCTTTCACCTGGCGCAACCCAGCCTATTTATAGGCAGTCCATCAGCGTCACAAATTAACCAAATTAGAATAAATAATTATCTAAACTCCAAGGCATTTGTATTTACTCTACACTAGAGGAAATACAAAACGATCCAAGAGAAACAATAAAAATAAATACAATGTGCCGAAAGCACATAACAGTGAGTATCCCAGCAGCTGCTCTGATACTGATTCAGTTTGATGATGCTGCTGCTGTCATATAATTGGGATTTTATTAGAGCAGAGCGACAGCCTGGAAGGGCTTTAAGCCACGCTGCTAGCTACCTGAGCAAGAAATATTTGCAATTTAGCTTTTTAAGTTTTTCTTAAATGTCCTCACAAAAGCATAAAGAAATTAAAGAACCAATATGAAATTAAATCATATTATATATTTTCTTTCTTTCTTTCTTTCTTTCTTTCTTTCTTTCTTTCTTTCTTT